CCCTCAATTTTGTCAAGTGGCAGGTATTTTGGTTACCTTGTACTGTTATAAAAGAAATGCCAGAAGTAGTTGACTCTAAGAAACATCAATCTAATTTCTTAGCACTGGAGACTAAAACTGCAAATCGGGCTCAGGTGGGTGGATCCTTTTGTGAGATGCTTCATTTCTGGTATCTCTTGGCAATGCTTGGTATTACTTGGCTTATTGATGATCCTCACATGGTGTCTATATATTTCCGTGTCTTTTCTGTTCTTTTTATCACTCAGAAGTGATTAGATTTAGAACCCACCCTACCTACTTAAGTATGACCAGATTAATACAGCATAGAAACTCTGTTTCCAACCAGGATCATATTTACAGCTATAAAACAATGAAACCCGTTGCTGTCAAGTCACTTCTGACTCATGGCAACCCCATGTGTTGTAGAGTAGAACTGTTCCATAGAGTTTTCATAGTTGTGAGTTGTCAGAAGTAAGTTGCTAGACCTTTTTTCCAAAGTGCCTGTGGGTGCCAACCTTTTGATTAGTAGCTGTCTGCTTAACCATTTATGTCATCCATTTACAGGTGTTGGAGCTAGGATTTCAATGCACAGTTTTTTTGGGGTGGGGGGGGGAATTCAAATTTTTCAAGTTCCTTCAAAATAAATATATATGTAAACCCACTGCTGTTGAGTTGATTAGAAATCATAGCAACTCTGTAGGGCAGAGTAGAATACCCCACTCGGTTTCTGAGGCTATAAGTAGTTAAGGGAGTGAAAAGCCTCGTCTTTCCTCCTGCAAAGCAGCTGATGGTTTCAAACCTCTGACTTTGTGGTTAGCAGCCTAATGTGTAACCAATTATGTCCTCAGTACTCTTCACTTAATGTTAGAAATTGGGATTTAGGTTATAGTGTATGTCTAAGTTAAAAAAGAAATGTTAAATTTCCTGTTGTGCTTTACATGGGATCACCAAACCTCCAAATCAAACTCATTTGCCTATAGTTGATTCTGACGCATCTAGGACAGAGTAGAACTGCCCCATGGATGTCCACAACTGTAAATCTTCTTGACTTGTGGGTTTGAATTTCAGCCCTTTCAGTTAACTGCTGCTGAGTGTTTTAACCAATACCCCAGGGTTCCTCACATGGGATAAATTGCCTGTACTTAATGTTTCTGGCAGTGAAAGCCTATTTATTTGTTTTCAGCCCTGGGTCTCATTTCTTTGTTAAAGTATTTAAAATTAAAATCATTGGAATAAACGTGTGGTTCAAAATTCAAAAGTCACTAAAGGATATACAATATCCCGCACTTGTTCTTATTTACCCAGTTTTCTTCCTCAACTTCCTGAGATGTGTTAAATAAACACCCTGACTTTTTAACACAGTATTACATATTTATTATTTTCGATTGCACACATTTATTTCACAATGCAGTTTTACACAATGCTAAGAGCACTTTTCTTTATACTTTACAGGAGAGCTTGAAACAATATGAACTTCAAATTAATGGTCATCCCAGTACACATCCAAATCTAACCCAAGTAGAAACATTACAATTTGTTCAAAGGCTTAATGGCAATAATCAAAGGAGGCAGAGAGTTAGGTTTACTTTACATAACTGACTGGAAAATACATTCAAAACACAGCAAATAAACATTAATTTATTATGTGCCTCCTGTGCCCAGAGGAGGGGTAGTTGCTATGTCCAGATAATCCCCTATTTGAAACGGATGTGATTGAAGGTCCCCTTCCTGCCCCACATGGTGTCGCCAATTTCCTTTACTAAAGTGTAGCTCTGCAGCTCGCCGGGCTGCACGTTTCCGCGAGAAGTTGAACTCGTCCTTTTTGGTGAAGACTCGCAGCAGCAGCAGCAGCAATAGCAATAATCTGCTTCGCTGCTCTGAACTCCCAACCTCTGCTGCTGCGAGCATGAGAACCAAGTCTGCTATTACATAACTAAAATAGAAAGTATATATAATTGGAAATATTTTAGCTTCTCTTACATAATGTGCAATATGAGTTATAAATTGTTCTCAGGTTATATTTGGATATGCCATATAGAAATTTGTTGTTTTAAAGTAGCTGCAGCTATCAATCTTTTATGTATTTTGAATTTCACCTCACCGCCTTGACAATTACAAGAACACTTTCCTCTCTGTATTTGGATGCCTTATTTTTCAGGTTTACATCTTTGATCCATTTGCAGTTTATTATTATTTTTAAATCGTTTTATTAAATGTTCATTTGTTTAGCACCATTCATTTTTAAAATTTTATTTTATTTTTTTAATCATTTTATTAGGGGCTCATATGACTCTTATCACAATCCATACATACATCAATTATGTAAAGCATATTTGTACATTCATTGCCCTCATCATTCTCAAAACATTTCCACTCCACTTAAGCCCCCGGCATTAGGTCCTTATTTTTCCCCTCCCTCCCCGCTCCCCCCTCCCTCATAAGCCCTTGATAATTTATAAATTGTTACTTTGTCATATCCTGACCTGACCCTTCACCCTCTTTTCTGTTGTCCGTCCCCCAGGGAGGAGGTCCCATATAGATCCTTGTAATCGTTTCCCTATTTCCTACCCACTCTCCCTCTACCCTCCCAGTATCACCACCCACACCACTGGTCCTTAAGGGATCATCCGCCCTGGATTCCCTGTGTTTCCAGTTCCTATCTGTACCAGTGTACATCCTCTGGTCCAGCCAGACTTGCAAGGTAGAATTCGGATCATGATAGTGGAGGTGGGGGGCGGGGAGGGAGGGAGGAATCATTTAGGAACTAGAGGAAAGATGTATTTTTCATCGTTGCTACATCGCGCCCTGTCTGGCTCATCTCCCCGAGACCCCTCTAGCACCATTCATTTAAAAGGCCATTCTAACCCCTACTAATTTCTTTTTACCTCTGTTAAAAAAAATTGGACTTATTTATGTAGGTCTATTTCTGGGTTCCATACTTTGTTTCTTGGTGGCACAGTGGGTAAAGCATTGGACTGCTAACCACAATCCCTGCAGTTTGAACCCACCAATTGCTCTGTGAGAAAGACGAGGCTTTCTGCTCCTGTAAAGATTGTTAGTTTTGGAGACACAAAGGGGCACTCTTTCCTTAGGGTGTCTATGAGTCAGAATTAACTGGATGGCAGTGGGTTTGTCTTTTGTTTCAGTCCTCTGATAATATGCCACTGCCTTGACTGTGGTGATTGTATGGTGGGCCTTCATATCATGGAGAGGGATTCTTCCCCCTTTATTTTTCCAAGATTATTTTAGGTAACCTTAGACTTTTGCCTTTCCTAATAATTTTATCTGTTTCTAAAAATCTTTCCTGGAACCATGATAGGCAACAGCATTAAATTTGTAGATCAATTTGTGAAGGATTGGCATCTTTATTATATTGAGTCGTCTAATCTAGGAACATATGTTATTATTTTTTAGATCTTTGATGCTTCTTATCATCTTTTGGAATTTTCCGTATACAGATCCTGTACATGTTATGTGTACACATAAGTATAAGGGAGCTTCAAAGCATTCATGGGAATGAAACGAAAAGACAATGGGAATTTTCTTAAAACTTTTTATTATGAATTAGCGAGCAGAGAATCATACACGTTTTGTTTCAGTCATCCACTGCAATCCCTTCAGTGGCCATTACTTACCCCACTTCTGCCTTGTGTTGTGTTAATGGAATTTCCCCACAGACGTATACTTTCTTTAGAGAAATTATAAATGATTTTGTGTCTTAAATTGTTTCATACTAATTAGAAAACTTTGTTGATAGGTATGTATACTGATTACAGGACTTTCTTTTTTTTTTTTTTAATCATTTTATTGGGGGCTCTTAATCACAACTCTTGTTTATCTTCAGGAGTTGTAAACAACTCTTATCCCAATCCATACATCCATTGTGTCAAGCACATTTTTTTAGAGGATGATATTAAGCTTTATTTAAAAAACATTTATAATTTATTGTATTTGTTAAGAATATTCAGAGAGCAAAACATACACGAATATAACATTTTCTACATGTACAATCCAGTGACATTGACAGTAGATTTCATTTTAATACTCACTCAGCCACATTTACGCTTAGTAGAGTTATTTCTTACTGAAACTTGTTCTTCTTTCCTCAGTCTTTTCTACCAGGTTCCTCTACCCTTTTGGTTCCTATGGTGTTCCACAGTGATCTGTCTTGAGATCTCTTCTCTCCTCACTTTCTTCACTTACATACTTCATGGATTTAGATCCATTTTTTAATAATGAGATTATTTTATTGGGAGCTTGTACAACTCTTAATCACAATCCACACATATATCCATCGTGTCAGGCACTTTTGTACATTTGTTTCCCTCATCATTCACAAAATATTCGCTTGCTATTTGAGCCCTTGGTATCAGCTCCTCATTTTTCTCCTCCCTTCCCCCTCCCCCATGAACCCCTGATAATTTTAAAATTATTATTATTTTGTCATAACTTACACCATTGGACGTCTCCCATCACCCACTTCTCCGCTGTCAGTCCCATCATTGTGATGTTTAAATGAGATTTGACATATGCAGCCCAGTTGTAATACCTAAAGTCTACCTATATTCATTCTAAAGTTAGTTATTTTTTTAAGTGGAAAAATGATATGGTATATAGTAAAAAATAAAAACAAAGTGGAAAGTTTAATTCTCTTAAGTTTAATTCCCTTCTCTACTTCTGTACCATTCACACAATTTTGAATATTTTTCAATAACTATTCTGTGAACATATACACTTACATATGATTATGTTTTTACAGCATTTAATGGGAGCATCTCATACGTGCATATCTCCTTTTGTATATTTCAATAGAGTTGGTTGATCTTTTTATTATAAAATATAAGTTGTTCTTTTTAAATATCTTATTCTATCATTCTTACTGATTGCTGAGTATCGGATTGTGTTTGAATACTGATTAGTTAATATAACCAATATTTTTTATCAGCACTCATTTCATGCATTTATTTAAAATATATTTATTCAAAGCTTTCTTTTCTTAGGGTCAACTCACTATCTGAAAGTACATCCTCCCAAGAAGGGACCGAAAGAAAGACCTGTTTGTAAGAAAAGCTTGGGTATCCCATGAACGAGACAGAAGAAAACCGGTTGCGGTGCAGCAGGACTCCAGAGCCAGATATAAGGCTCAGAAGAGGGCACCAACCTGATGATTCAAGGAGAAGTAATAATGAAGACCTCCAAGGAGGGAACTTGAAGCCCCTTCTAGAGGCACCTGTTCTTGCTTCTCATCGGAACAAAGTAAGTCAAGGTGGAGGAGGATGGTAAATGACACAAAACACTTTCCCTATAATACTTGAGTATAAGCCGAGGCACACCTACAGTTTTTTTGCCACAAAAAACTGGGAGGCTTTTTCATCATTAAAAATGTGCTGAGAACGGATGAGCCCTATAGGACCAGTGGTGTGAGTGGCAAAACAGGGAGGGTAAAGGGAGAATGGGTAGGAAAGAGGGAACCGATTACATGGAACTGTGTGTGACCTCCTCCCTGGGGGACAGAGAACGGAAAAGTGGGTGAAGGGAGATGTTGGACAGGGCAAGATATGACCCATTTGTAAACTATCAAGGGCTCATGAGGGAGGGGGGAGCGGGGAGGGAGGGGGAAAATGAGGACCTAATATCGGGGGTTTAAATGGAGAGAAAATGTTTTAAGAAACGATGTACAAATGTGCTTTACACAATTGATGTGTGTATGGATTGGGATAACAGTTGTATGAGCCCCTAATAAAATGTTAAAAAAGAAAAAAAAATGTGCTGAGAAAAAAAACTCGACTTATACTCGAGTATATATGGTATGAGGACTATATAGATAGAATGGGTGTCAAGACACTTGCAATTTTTATTGTTCAGGATAATTTTACATTTCATTCTTAAATTAGTTCAGGCATTATTTGATTTCACAGTTATGTCTTTTGCTAGCACTTGAAATCATATGCCTTTAACTTGTTTAAGGGAGAAGAAATGGGAGATTTTTTAGTTACCAGATAGTCTTTCTAATTTGACCAAGCTTTAGTAATGAATTATCAATTATTTTGTGTGTGTGTATTGGTGGAGGTGGTAGTGGTTTTAATATTTCCTTTCATTCTCCAGAGGAAATGCCAACCTTTAAATGATTTAAACTAGGGGGGAAAAAAGGGGAATGGAGAGTATGGTGGGGGAGGGAGAGGATAGAGGGGAGTGGATATCAAAGAGTTCAAGAAGAAAGAACTACTTGATGTGATTGAACTGTGAAATGTTATCATATCTGTAAGAGCTCCCAATAAAATGATTTTAAACAAATAAATGATGTAAGAAGCAACAATACCTAGAGAACAAAAGTATAGTTATCTATGAACAGCATCAGAACTCCATGTTGCAGATGTTTTGCTGTATGCTTTATAACCATTATTGTGTAGCATTTATTCAGTGTTATGACTTTGACCCTTTACTTGAAATACCAGCTTTACAGTCCCTAAGGGTTGTGCTTGTTGTCCAAGTAAAGTATTACTGCTTGAAACCCGGAAGCATCTTGTCCTTTCAGGTATTTTATGAAGATTTCATGAGAGAAGCTTAAGGTTCTGTCTTTTATTCTTGGTAATGTTTCTACTCTTAACTAGATTGTGTTACAGTAGTTTGATGTGTTTGTGCACGCACACGCACATGCACACCTGCTTATCCCTACAACCACAGGACAGATTGGTTGTTATAGGATTTTTAAAAACGTTCTGCCTATAATACCGGTAAGTATAGTGTAATTTGGCTTTTTGTGAGTCGGATTCCCACCGTCTATGCAGGACAACCAGTCTCAGTATGGAAAATGAGTGACATGGGTTCCCTGACCAAGCAAACAAACAACCAACCAAACTCACTGCCATCAAATTGATGCCGACTCGGCAACCCCATAAGACAGGTTAGACCTACCACTGAGGATTTGCCAGACTGTAACTCTTTATGGGAGTAGAAAGGGAGCGGGAGGTCTTTCTTCCCAGGTTTCCTAAAGGGAGTAGAAATGTGATAATTAGTAATAGGAAGAAGATTGACCAAGATATTAAAAGCAAGGGTAGAGATTCATGTTTTAGGCTTGTAAAAGATAACAAGTTATTTATTTCCGTTGGATTTGTTTTTGTTATGTGTGATATACGGTTAATAGAGGCTCTCCCTTTTCCAGTTATGAAAGGACTTTTATCAATTTTTTGGTATCAAGAAATTTTCTTTAAGATTTCTAGAATAAACACATTGACCTATCCTGAAATATGCCCATAAACAATTTAAAGAACTAGTGGTGATTAAATAATTCCTCTGACAGTTGTGTGGCGTGGAGTGTGTACCTGTATCCTTAGTAAAAGTTATATTTAACAATTTAAAATTGATGCTTGAGCTTATAGAATCAAGAATTTTAAAGCTTGAAGGAATTGTATACTGACAAATTTGAAGTTAAAAATTACAACAATCTTCTCTTTATAATACCAGTTATCATATGTTAGCTAAAGTTCTCTTTGTAATACCGGTTATTACATGTTAGCTTATCATTGTGATAATGAAACATCCATTCAGAGTTCAGATTTTGCCCACCCAGTCCTTTTGTATCAGGTTCACATGAATTGATTTTGTTCCTGTGCACATTTGTTTATCATCATCACTTGATAGATACTAAAGAATATTTACAGTTTTTATTTCACTAAACAACCAAATAAATGTGATTTAAAAAAAGTTCTTATGAATTGATTATACCAAAAAAGCAAATCCTTCCTCACGCAAGGCGGGCAAACTAGCGCATAGCAACCTTATATAGGGTTTCTAAGACTGCAAATATTTTCCGCAGCAGACAGCCTATTTTTCTCCTATGCAGCAACTGGTGGGGTTGAAGTACCTTACAGTTAGCTCTTTTAACAGATTTTCCGTGAAAGGAGTCAAAGAGTGAGAGGGAACTGATCCATAGATCATGTGAAATGTTAGAGCTGAAAACGTCCTCTGAAATCATCTTGTTTACCTTTCTCAGTTTACTGATCAGGAAATTGTATATTTTTGTTCCTGTTGGAAATTTGTCCTTTGCGTGTTGTTTTTCTTTGGAGTGCAAGTTCCTTTTTTAAAAAGTAAAGGTGGTGTTAGGCTAGATTGGCATCTTTATATACACTACTTATCTATTCTAGAAGCTGTTTCAATAGAACATTTATTGTTGGATTAGTTAGTAACGAAAACTTTTCTTCTGCTGTAGCCCATCACAATTATTGCAACTTCTGCACTTTAGCTACAGTACTGCCCCTTGCTGCTAATTTTAGGGTTAACTGTAGAGTATAGGTTTCCCCTTTTCAGAAAAACAAAACAAAAACTGTAACTCTCCCTCTTCCCCACAATTATTAAACAAAAACACACATTTTTTTGGTACTGTAGCCCACAATCCAGGATAAAGTGTAGGTATCTGCCTTTGTAGCCCCCTTGGATTATTCTGGTTGTCACCCAGGGGGTGTTATTACCCAGGGGCTCGATCAACTACTTGGGGGAAACACTTGTGTACAGTAAACGTGGGCTTGGGAAAGTTTTAGGAAACTGTCATTTTGAGACTGAAATTAATAGCAAAATATTTAATACCTTTAAGTGACAAAGTTTCATGTATGGATTCATATATTTTTGAGAAAGGCTTCATTACTTGTTATATTCAGTTTTAAAGTATCTGAACACTTATCATCGTTAAAATTATACTTCCAAGTAACTTGAATGATGCCTTAAATTTGCATGCATCACTTTCACAGGTATTATCAGACTTATACTATGAAACAGGAAGAACATATTTTAGTTTTAAAGGAACAAAAGTAGGGTTGAGAGAGGTAGAGTAATTTGACCTAGGTTACATGGCTAAATGAGAGCATGTTTTAAGTCTTCCGACTCCCCTTTCTGTTGAACAAAGCTGCTTTTGATGAGACTTGGCACCAGAGTAACGTAATGTTTCAGAATTCCAAAACCCGCTCCAAAGTGTTTATTTTGAACCTGGAGATTAGATTGAACAGTTGGTACTTGTTTTGTTTTTGTTTTTTTGGACCGAGTTGTTGAGCATACCGTCTTTTCTATCAGGCCAGGATAATTTCACTTCTCAGGTGCATTCTTTTTCATAGACTTTGTTTCTTTTGAGAGTAAATAAATTCAATGTATTCTATATAATACAGCCTTTCATATTTCTAATGACTTTGCATAATTTTCCTTGAAATTTTTCTGTTTTGAGTTATAGAACTTAACTGGACCTCTCTTTCCCAGCGGCTGCTGCACGATGTAGCACAGCCGGGCTGCCGTTCAGAGCGGCCAGGTCGCAGTCGTGCAACTGTGCCGCGCACTCTGTCTGGCTTGAGTCCCCTTTACTGTAGAACCTGAAACTGCTTCTATTCTCTATAGACCCACTTGGATCACAGAAAACAAAAAGGAAACAAAAAAAGAACTGGAGTATGGGGTCCATTTAAAATGTGCTCCCTTAGGCTCCCTAAATGCCAGTTGTGCATTGGGTAATAGAAAAGGCCTTTTGAGAGAGTTGTTGTATGAAAAAAAAACCACAACAAAACAGATGCCTTTTAAAATTTTAATTAAACTTAACTGAAATTATGGGTGTACAGAATTAAGATAGGGTAGTTACATTATTCGAGGAGGAATCTGTCATTTGGTATCGATTGTTTCCAATCATTTAAAAAAACAGTATTCTTCCTTAATCCTAAATTTAAATTCTTTTTGAAATGTGTAGTGTTGTATTGGTTGAAATGAATAGCCTGCCTCTAGGCAACTTATATTTGCTTAGATAGTTTATTTATTTATTTATTTATCTATCTATTTATTTATTTATTTATTTATTTCATAGCTATGAATTTAATTTTTTTTCCTTTTTTAACATTTTATTAGGGGCTCATACAACTGTTAGCCCAATCCATACACACATCAATTGTGTAAAGCGCATTTGTACATCGTTTCTCAAAACATTTTCTCTCCATTTAAACCCC